TGGTTGGCAAGTTCTTCCAAACATTAAGCGCCAATTTGCCTCTTTGTAACACCTGCTGCAGGTGGGCCTGGCCTCAGATCCTGCCCACTGTCTAAGGCCACAGAGCAGAGAAGCAGGGACCACCCCAGATCCTGTACCTGGCCACAGCCTCTCTGAGCCACAAAGACCACACTGAAGGGATGGAAGGAAGACTTCAGCTCAATGAAAGGGCTGGTGCCACTCAGTTGTGATGGAGGGAGGTCAGCCCAGGCCAACTGTGGGCATGGACAGAGTTCCTGTGCCCCCAGAGCCTGGCCAACACTCCCAGTGCCATTTGCAGCATTTATTATTCCAGCACCCACCTTTCATGTGACGACACAGGCTGGAGCACGGTCAAGTGCGTGGGTCCTTCAGAACTGTCAGCTTGTGAATGCTTGGGAGCACCCAGCCACAGGGCTGGCCTGGCACTTGGTGGACCAAGTCCAACTATCAAACCCAGAGGCAGAATGGCAGAGGCATGGGCCCTAGAGTCCCTGGGTTCAAACAACCCCAGCCACTGATAGTGTGGGTATCACAGCAGCCTTTCCCTTCCTGGCCTCAGTCTCCTACCTGAAGAGCACGGATGACTAGAACAGTTGCTGGGTGGATTCCCTGAGATCGCCACGCGCAGACTGTAGGAGGCACCTGCTACTTTCAAGGCCTCACAGGGTCTCGCCGGGCTCTGACACCGGGCCTGTAGGAGCTTCTCTCCTTTCCTGATGAGCAGCTCATCAGCTCAAAGGGCGCCCTTCCTGGCCGCCATGTCCTCCCTGCCCAAGGCACCCTCCACAGGTAGTATTTATTACATCACCTGGTAATTGCCCGCAGTGTCTCAAAGCTCCAAGGAGAGGTTGAGGGTGGAAGGAGACTGTCCATGCCTCAGCCCCGACACTATCCCACAGCCTGGTCTCCAGGAAAGCCAACCTGCTCTTGTCTCAAGGCCTCCCTGGATGCCAAAGCACAACTGTTCACACACAGCCCCCTGTGACTTCACTGATGCCAAAACTGCCCAGCACTTTCCATGCATGCCATGCTCTCATCGTTCTCATCTGGATTTTGGGGACCTCTCTCCACCTCGTAGCAGCACCTTCCCAACTTCCCTCACTTCTTGGATGCTGGGCTCAGGAATGCTCTCGCTGATGAGTCTGCACCCTGCATCCTTACTGGTCCTGTCCAACTGCTCTTGCCTCTATACCGCACTCACAGCCTTATCTGACCCCCAGTCCCCACGGGACACCCTCTCACCTGGAGACTCCCAATCATAGGTCCCAGCCCCCCTGCGGTTTCCCTACTACAGCCCTGGCAATTCGCATGCAAATCCGAGCACACCCCTCCCCTATTACAAAAAAAAAAAAAAAACAAACCACTCCAGAGGTCCCCTTTGCCCTACCTTGATAGTGCCAGTCCTTTCCTCTTTGTTTTATTTGGTTTCTTTTTTGAGTGGAGCAGCTGGATATGAACCATCCTTTCCTGTTGCTCCTTCTTGGTCTTTGGGACATTGCACTGACTCCATTATCATCGAGGCACTCTTCAGATACCAATCACAATGCCACCTCCTCCTCAAGCCCTCCAGCACTGCATCCCACTCTGCAGGCTGGCTGCTACTGCTGCCTCCTCCACAGTATCCAGAGTGCCCAGCAATCTTCACTGAATGGATGGAGGCCTAGCACACTCTGGGTCACATCCAGAAACTCCACAATAGGGGAGGAGACAAGCTGTTTCCAAGGAAGGGCAGCTCCCCAGGCCTGGTCACTCTCAGACTCCTCCAGTCAAAGGCCGGGCACAGTCAGCTGGGATTGCCATGCTTCGCTCTGACCCACACAACTGGCCTTGCCTTCTCTATGGGAAGAGACCCCTCCACACAACCTCAAACCCAGACATAACAGGACAGGACAAGACAGGCTGGAATCTAAAGAGGCCAGCCAGATCTCCACACAAAGGCTGTGCTCTTAAGCAGGAGGCAGTCTGAGGGGCAAAGGTTTCCTGAAGCAACTCAGGTCTCACATACCAGAGCACCAAAACGGCTGCAAAACCACCAGCTCAGCCAGCCAAGAATCCAGATGCCACACCCTTCTGAGACCCAGACTCCACGTGAGGATCACTGGGATTCAGCAGGAAAAGGTGGAAGTGATAGCTGGTGGACCAATACTTCCCAACATGCTTCCAGCAAGCAGCTGTGCCCAGTCCCTCCTCACATGACTCACTCTACTTCGGTACTGCACCTGGATGTCTCTGATCATGAGGTCATGACCTTTGCTCTCCTGCCATAGGAGCAGTGAGTGGCAGGATGGTGGTCTGGGAAGGAGGATCCTAGACTGGGTGTCCCACAGGACCAGGTTGTGACAGATCCCAGAGACAACACTCATGCCCCAGTCAGCCCCCAAACCCAACAGCTCCCCAAAGCCCAGGATATAAATACCCTGTGCACTGGTAAGCAGACACTTCAGGGAACAATCTGTTGTCTGTGAAGAAGATGCAGCCTCAGTAGTGTTTCATGAGCCTTCTGCAAACAAAATCTTTTTTGTTTGAATGCCCGTTAGAAACACTAAGGGAGTTCTTAAAAGAAACAGGGCCACACACTGTGGCTCGCAACTGTAAATTCAGCATTGTGTGAGGCTGAGGCAGGAGGACAGCTTGAGGGTAGGACTTTTAAGACCAGCCTGGGTGGAACAGTGAGACCAAACCTCTACAAAATACACAAAAAGTAGCATGGCACGGTGGTGCATGCCCATAGTCCCAGCTACGTGAGAGGCAGAGAAGGGAGGATTCCTTCAGCCTGGCAGATTAAGGCTGCAATGCCCAAGATCGGGACACTGCGCTACAGTCTGAGAAACACCACAAGGTCCCATTTCAAAAAAGAAAAAACAAAACAAAACCAAACATACCTGTCTCCAGCCCCATCAATTAAATCCAAATCTCTGTGGGGTGACTCAGAGTATTAACATTTTTAAATCTTGCCTTTGCTGAGGCAAACGTATAGTAATGGCTGAAAACCACTGCGTTATGTAAATACACTTCCTATGACTTATTGGTAGCCTTTTCGTACCTAACAATTTCTACAGACCCTCTCTTTGGGTTTCGGGAGCCAGAATGGGCAGGGCGAGGTGTGAAATGTCCTAGGAAACTGAGGGTAGAGCACAGCTCCCAGCTCAGGGGGACCCATTTCTGAGACTAAGGCACCCACTGGGAGCTCAGCCGATCTTCAGAGGGGAAATCACACCTCAGAACCCCAGATACCCAAAACAACGCTCGAGTTTGGCAGATACCTGGCAGTGGGCCCTGTAGCGGCAACCGCAGGGAAAACTGTCACTGTACTGTCAGCTCCCTCCGGCCCCCTCTCTGGTCCCAGCGACAGGAGGTCTCTGAATAAGCTCAGAGGTCTCAATAAAAGGAGCGTTGAACCTCAGAGGAGTTATTAACAGGTGTACAGTTACCTCAAGACTCCACCTGACCAGGGCCAAAAATGAGTCCTAGGAGGGCAGCCAGGAAGAAAGCAGGGCAGAGAGGAAACACAGGGAGTAGGGGCCCTGGGACTACGTCAGATATGGAGTGAACCAGGGGAACAAGAGCAGCCCTGATGATTGTGCTCCCCATAACCCCTGCATACCTGTGTCCCCTGAGAATTCAGGGTGAGGAGCTCACTCTTGCCCTTCACCTGTTCCTGGGCTCTGGCAGGCTGGCCTGCTTCCTGCCCCAGCCTCACCCACTCTCCGCACTTCTCGCCACTGCTGTGGGCAAGCTGATCTCTCTGGTTTGCTGGACTCTCACTCTCTGCCCAAGAGCACTAAGTTAACTTCTTTCCATGCTTTATTCTCTGTGATTAAAGATGGAAGCAATTCTCACTAACACCATTTCTCAGAGGAGAAAACAGGCACAGAGATGTTCTATGACTTCCTCACGGTCACCAACCAACAAGTGAAAGCGGGGCTTTGAAGGGAGGTCCACCCATGCTCCTAAAGTTGAGCCGTCCTCCAGGGAAAAGACAGCACCTGTAAAAGCTCAGTGAATGGGGCAGAAATGTCCTCACTAAGGCCCTACCAAGCTGGTACCCTGATATCCAATTCCAACCTCCAGAACAGGGAGAAATACAATTCTGTTTTTGATGAGCTCCCCAGGCTATGGCTCTTTGCTATAATACACTGAACTGGCCCAGAAGGACTATTCCACCATCTGTGTCCTATTCCATCATTCAGAAGGGAGTCACTAAGCCCTCAGTGCTGTCTTTGGGGATGCTGCCCACCCTAGGCTGAGATGAGGCACAGGGTCTGGGTCTAAATAAACTGGGAAGGCACTGGAAGGTGCAATGTCGGAAGAAGAGGATGTCTGAATTTCATTTAATCTCAACCTCGTATAGTACTGCAGCATGAAAGACGAGGCCCAGAGCAAAAGTGCCTTTTCCTGAGATCACACTATGGACCCCAGGCCCACTGGAGTTGTATTCCATGCTACCTCTCACCCCGTCTTGTATTTCTTCCATCTCGAAGGATGTGCAATATCTACAGGGACCACCACACCATGAGGTTTTTAAGATTTATCTCAAACACACCTCAGGAGTTCCCTAGGAAGGGTTACGATGCTAGCATAACTCCCTTGTGCTAGGTGGGGAGAGCCCAAAACACCAACGGAGTTCTCTAGGGCCTCACAACTGCTAAGATAAAGGCTGTTTGACCCAGCACTGGCTCCTCAAACCTGGGACCCCGGTTATATCCAGGTCTTCCCAAGGTGCTGAAGGGGCACACTTTGGCATAATGGTGAACAGGTAAAGGAGTTGACGGGGGAGGGCGAGTGGCCAGAACCCCAGAAGGCCCTTTCAGTATGTCTTATGGAAAGGAGGAGTTTACAGGATGGAACCTACAAGATGTGACCTCACTTCCTTGCTAACAGATCCCCAATAGAACTTAGAATTCTGGTAACTAGGCACCCATATTATACACACAGCCCCATTTCCAGCTCATTTGGTGGGCGACACTCCGGAGAACAACATGTTCTCCTGCTGTGTCCCGACGTGCTGCCGATCTCCTCGTCGCAAAAGAGGCCAAAATGAGAGTCTTTCTCGAGAATACAGACATTGGTTCAACCCTCACCCTCGACGCCTCTGGCCCTTTGCCAGAAGGCACCCTCAGGTAACACAGGGCCCAGGGCAGGCCCGTCCAGGCCAGGCCTCAGCTGTGCCCATCAGGGCAGCACCGAGTCCCTCCCCATATGTTTGGGGGAAACAGGAGATGAGGGGCCCTCCCTGGACAGGAGCAGGTAGGTTGTCAGGTGTTTGGAGCCTGGTACGTATGTCAGGCTCACAGTCCAGACCATGCCTGGCAGGATGGGAAGTTCAGTGTCGAGGACACAGTTTGCTGCTCAGATGTGAATCCCAATTCATCTGCCGGAGACCTCAACCTTCTCTGGCTGGAGGTCTATGCAGATGCTCCTATGTGCCAAATCCTGTTGGGGATGGGGACACCAGGAAGGAGTTCTAATGGGAGTGTGCCACTGTGGGGTCAGCCAGGCAGGCCACTGACACCTCCTGGCCCGGCTCTCGGGCCCTCTCTTTGCAGAGCTCCACACAGCAGATCAAGCAGGAGCTGTTGGATGGATTCCATTTCTCCAACTTCTTCAAAGAAGGGCAGGGGCCCACCGCCACCAACCACGGCCAATGCTGGTCTGGGGTGAGATTGGGTACAGAAGGATCTCCACAGACAGGGACTCCAGAAAACCAGGGTGGGCCCAGGACTCAGACATGAATATGGGGACTCCCTAAGCTCTGTCCTAGGGATTTCCCACTTGAGTGGCCCAGTGTTCTCTTTCAAAGGAATCTGGCTGCCATTAGTCCCCAGTGACAACTTGGTTACAGGCAAAGTCCCTTTGAAAGATCAGAGAAAATCCTTCTCTTTTCACTTTATGCTAACCCAGGAGTATCTCAGCATGCTGCCACAAGAATTGAGTATAATGGTAAAATTACAGCAACATACTCATCCCGTTACCATTTTAACTCCCCACCATAAGTGTATCTCCGGCAACAGGCATCTCCACTGCCCTGCCAGACCTCCTCCAGGACTTAAAATCCAAAACTTCTACACAAACAAGGTGGGGGTGGACATTGATTACAACAAAAGAAGGTGAAGCTACTCTATGCATTTGTCTTTAAAGTGTCATCTCACAGAACTCATCCCTGCAGGCCCATCACGCAGGAACTGTACCCTCGCATCTCAGTGTAATATTCCTTAAGGGAGGCCATGTTCCACAGCGGGTCAGCCTCTCAGTGCTGGTGGAGCCTGTAGTGATAAAATTCCCTTTCTAGGAAGTCTTTCTACAGGGAGCATAATCCTATGTGTGTCCTAATAGGTTGGAGCAGTTTCCCAGGGCTGCCATAACATGGCACGCTGACTGCAGAGCTTAATCACAGAAATTTGGTTCCTCACAATTCTGGAGACTGGAAGTCCAACGTCAAGCTGTCAGCCTGGGGTGGTTTCTCTGGGCCTCTCTCCTTGCCTTGGAGGTGGCTGATTTCTTCCTCGGTCAGCACAGGGTCTTCTCTTCAACTTCTCTGTGCGCTCACCACCTCTCCTTGTAAGAACCCCAGGCATATTAAATTAGGGGCCACACTAATGAACTCACTTCACCTGAATTACCTCTTGGAGAACTCTGTGTCCAGACAACCATATTCTGAGTCTCCGGGGTTGAGAAAAGAAACAGTTACATTTGGGGGAGGGGACACAATTCAACCCATAAAATATACAAATCCCCTGAGGAAGACACACACCCGGGAAAGGGAAATCTGGGTGAAAGGATATGCAGATAGCAAGTTTCAACAGCTCTAGCCAGTTGACTTTCCAAAAGGGCTCCAGCTGCTCACACGGTCACCAGCAGCCTCAGCCTCTGAAGGTAGCTGCTTCTCTGAACACGGCCTCCCCTGAATACTAACATGCTTTTAACTTTTTGCCCATCTGCTGTCTGTGTGGCAGAGAAAATCACCTTGTTTCATTTCCACTTTCAAACGTACAATTGTGTAACCTTTCACGGGTTGCATACCTGCCCGCGTTTTCTCTTCCCCGAGTCGCCGGGCAGATCCTGGGCCTTGGGATACACTTCCTCCCACCCTGGAGTCTTCTGACATTTTCCCCTTGCCCAGGGCTGGGATGGCCGTAGCTGTTTCTCCAGACTCATGTTCATGTTAAAGGAACAAAAACAATCATATCCCTTTAAGACAAAGGGTTCTTCTAGAGCATCTTGTCCTGTGTGCTGTTGCTAAAATGAGGAGGGAACGAGACCTCCCCAGACCCTTCCCCTCCATATCAGAAGTGGAGCCTCAGGTGGCCTACAGGGAATTTCATCCAGTCCTGCCTGTGGAAGGTGCTCACTTCTGACCCGGGTGCTGTTCAGCATCCATGTGACATCCAAAAGCCCGTGTCTCTTCTCTATCATGAGGATGATTTGTGAGAACTGCAGGGATGATGCTCTTCATGCAGGCTGCTGATACACAAGGTGCCGTTGCCCCAAAGCTGACAAACACCGTGACGATGCCTTGAAGGAGTGAATCATTTTATCAATGCTCCATCCTCACATGCAATTTAATTTGAAAGCCTATAACCCATTTCAACATGGGCACAACATGCACAAGTCCCTGAAGGGTTGATGCTTCTTAGTGTGAGTTCCAGATCCCGATCCTCTGGTGGTTCATGGTGTTACCACTGACTCCCATGTCCCTCCTTGTCCACCTAGTATGAAAATCAGATCTCCAGGATGTCAACTTTCCAGCCCGGCACAGGGGAGAAGCTGTTGGACTCCCTGGTTCCAGCCTTGCTAACTAAACCCATCTCCTCCTATGCCACCTGCCTGGGCCCCTCCTGGGACTTTATCACCGTGCCACACTTTTTGGAACTACTGGTTAGAAGGTGAGTGTCCATCCCCTCCAAGGCACAGAGGTGCCTCTGTCCCCTACTGGCTGTGTCTTGAAGATGCAGCTCTCAGAGACTCGGTTGGCTCCACTGGAACAGGGAGTAGTGAGAAGATGAACCTCACAGGGTTCTTGTAGGGACTGAATGATCTAAGACACGGCAAACAAAGGGGTCCCTAGAGCCTAAAACTCTGGATATCTGCTGGGGGTGCTGTGATTCACATTTATTACTTTTCCCTTCCCACTCACTGAAGTAGCTCTCAGCATTCTGCCTCAATGGCCCATATCCCTCGCTGTTTGGAAAAGCACATAGAAAGCAAGTCTACAATGGCATTGGTAAAAGATGTCTGAGATTCCTTCTGGCTGGTCTTTCTCCTTGACACAGACAGAAGAGGGGTCCCTTCGTGCTGAAAGAGGAACCACAGGTCCACTCAGATATCTGGAGAGGCTCACTGGGGTTCTCCAATGGTTGGGGTTCACTCATTCAACACATATATATAAAACACCTCATTTGTGCATCGTTCTTCTTGTGACTTAGCAAAATTTCATAAAGCAGATGACAATCCCTGGGCCTCGGCTTACTGAGAGTCAGGTGCTCACAGGAGACAGAATAAACAGGTCCTATCTACACAATGTTAGAGGTGAAACCCTCATGGCCTCTTCTACGTATGGTGGCGTCCTCCCAGATTCTGACGAGAATGATGCAGTCCAGCAACAAGTATAAACTGGGTGGATTTAGGGTTCTAAAGAGCTTTTTCATCCAGAAAACATGGCGTAAAAGATGTGGCCTCTGCCTGAGGAGACCCTAAAGGAGTCCTGGGGCTCATACTTCTTATAATTCCCACAAGAAGGTTGACATCTGGGTCCCTGGCAAGAGGCAAATAGTAAGTTCTGTATATGGAGACTTAGGTGCCCTGCAAAGGAGAGGGGAGGCTGGGGTCTCAGCTGGTCACTGAGACACCCATGCCCCGTGCCGTGGCTTCCCAACTCTACCTGTCCTCCTCCAGCCAACATCTGCCCCTACTCTCCTAACCCCAGGACCAGGGGACCCAGAGCTGGAGCTTGATGAGCAACCTGCTCACAAATCAGCCTGGAGCTGCAGTCCTGAGTGCCCAGGTGCACAGAGCTGTGCTCCAGGGCCTTTGGGAAGAGAATGTCAGCGGGACACTGGGGCGCACAAGGGTCTGTACAGCCCTGCTGTGTGGACAGGTCTGCCCCCTCCAGGACAGCACTGATGGCTTGGGGTAGGGTGGGGCTGTCCTCTACACAGGCAGCAATAGGCCAGGGACCCAGAACCACGCAACTGTGCCCTGGAGGGTTGTGTGGGAGAAGGCCACGCCTCTGACTCTGCTGTCCACTCCATCACCAGCACCATCACCTCCATTTTGTTCACCTGGCCCCTTGAAAACACTTCAGTTTGCTATCAGCCCCCGCAACGGTCATCTTTCCGGATAAAGCTGGCCTTCAGGAACTTCGCTTGGCCTGGACTGGGCTTGGAGGACCACCAGGAACTTGTCCTAGGCCAGTTGGTACTTCCGGAGCCCAACGAGGCCAAGCCAGATGGTGAGGTGGCTTGCAGTCTGGAAGACTTTCCGGGGGTGGTGTTGTGGGGCTACAAATCCCTTACATTTCATCCAGTCATTTCTGTGCTTGGAAAGCCCAGTGAAAAGTGACTGGTGTGGTGACCTTTTCTCCTTTTCCAGATCTTGCTCCACCTCCTGGACAACACGTATTAACAATGCCGGCCCTGGAGCCAGCACCACCACTGCTGGCGGACCTGGGGCCTGCTCTGGAGCCAGAATCAGGGGCAGTCCTGGGTGCACCAGGATATCTATATTCAGCACCAGGACCAGCACCAGGGGAAGGATCCCCTCCAGCGAAACTGCTGGAGCCACAGTCCGCCTCAGAGTCCCCCACTCCCTCTTCCGGGACTGTGAAGAACCAATCCCTTGAGGAGATGCCTGACATCACGACCTTCCCTCCCAGGCTGCTGGCAGAGCAGCTGACCCTCACGGATGCGGTGAGCAGCTGGGTTTTGCAGGCTGTGCCTCTGGCACTAGCTGTCTCAGACCAGCCTCTACCCGAGGAGTGGCCAATGCCCTGGGTCGAATGTCATCCCCACTTCTTACCGAACATGGGATCTGGATGAGTTTCCTCACACACAAGCCTTCCCTGACTGCATGTGGACAGCAGAGATGGCACGTCGCCTGTGCTAGCTCCACAGAGTGTGGAGACCGAATGACAAGGGATGGACAGAAAGCAGGACAGGACAGGTGCTCACCAAGGGGTAGGCAGGGCCATGGGTCACTCATCCAGCTGCTCAGGAGCCTCACGACCCTTATTAGGTGCCTGATGCATACTAGATTCTATGGGAGACACCCAAACAGAGCCCATAGTTGCAGCTGCTACAAGGAAAGTGCACCAGTATGGAGAGAAGGAGTACAGGGCTGACTGGGATGGGAGGAAGACGAGGCCTCAGGATGGACAGGCCTGAGTCACCTTCTAGTTCTTGGGAGTGCGGATGGCTTCGGAGAAAATGTCACTCTCCCTTCCCACTCTTGTTGGATTCTGGGCCATGATGCACTTAGGGCTCTCAGTGGGTAGAAAATCAAACCCAGGGACTACCACATATCTAGAGCCCATTTTAAAGCTTTCTCAACTCCAGATCGGTTCCTGCCAGAGACCATGGATGACTGTGAGCTCAGTCCCTGCCTGGGACTGTGGGTGACTCTGAGCTGGGGTGCGCTCTGTCCATGACACTCTCCTCCTCCCCCAAAGGAGCTGTTCAAGAAGGTGGAGCTCTACGAATGCTTGGGCTCCATCTGGGGCCAACGAGCTAAGGAGGGGAATGAGCACGTGGCACCCACAGTTCATGCGACCATCACACACTTCAACAGGCTCACCAACTGCGTCACCACCTCCTGCCTCGGGAACCATGGCATGACGGGCCGGGACAGGGCCAGGGTGGTGGAGCACTGGATCAAGGTGGCCAGGGTAAGCCATGGTTGGGCCTGAGAATTTCCTCTTTAAAAATGGGGAACTGCCTCTTCTCCTCCATCGGCTTTCAGGATTGCCATCTGTATGTCTGGCTTCAGCCCTGGACATCACCTAGACCCGTCTTGTCACAGACCTCGACTCCCATGTCCCAGTGGTGGCTGCTCACTTCTGACCTGGGCTCTTCCTTGGGTTGAACTAAAATCCTCCTAGATGAGTGACATTCACTCGGCCCCAGGTATCCCCTCCTGAGGCTCCCTAGGCCTCTGCTTAATCCAGGCACGGAGATCTCAGCACAGCGGGCTGTGGCTTAAGTGGGCCAGGCTCCACTGTGGAACTCACAGCTCACTCTTCCCTCTCCAGGAGTGCCTAAGCCTCAACAACTTCTCCTCGGTGCACGCCATCGTCTCTGCTCTGTGCAGCAAACCAATACATCGGCTACACAAGACATGGGCAGCAGTGTCCAGGTGAGGAGGGTTCCCTCCACGGGAGCACCAGGGTTGACCTAGGGACCCAGAGGTCTCCCCATGTGCCCTCAACGACTCTGAAAGGTTCTTGGAGACCAGAGACACTGGAGGCAGGGATGGCCTGGTGGGTGTGGTCACTACGCTGCCTTGGACTACTAAGCAAGGATTTCCAACTCAGGACTAAGGATTTTTAACCATCAGGAACAGACTGGAGCCAACTGGAGGCTTTCAGGTGTTTGTACCCAGCAGTGGAACTGTGTCCAGCTGGAAGCTAACTGTGAACACACGCAGGGGCTCATGTGAAGTGGAGATGGGCCAGGGGAGGAGCATGACGGGTCCCACCCTGGTCCTCTGGAGCCCTTGTCATCAGAGGACCCTATTGGAAACTCTCACCCACGAAGTTGGGATTCTCTGGGTTTTCAAACAAAAGGGATTGGATTGGAACTCACAAATCTCTCCGCTTATCCCCAAATTTGCTTTTCTTTCTTTCCTCTGCCCATAGCAAAAGCACAAAACATCTAAAACAACTCTGCAAAAAAGATACTGCAGTGAAGAGGGACCTGCTGATCAAGGTACACTGGAGTCTGGGAGATGCAGGAGAAGTGTTTAAGGGTCAGAGGAAAGACTGAGTTTGGAAGGGCATTGGACCTGGTGTGGACTGGTTATTTTCTTTTGACTTACCTACTAAAAGGGGACTTGAAAAATTCCCTCCATGCCTACCTTGGGCAAACAGAAGGAGAGGTGTGTGGGTCCACAGGCACGTGGGGGCACGGCGGCAGGAGGCCCTGGAAATGGGATGTGGCAATGGCTGCTGGGCTGCTGGGCTGCTGAGCGGGGGTGATGAGCTGCAGCATTAGCAGGGCTCTGGTTCCCGTGCTTGTCAGTGCTGCTGGCATGGAGCTTCCTCCAGGCTGGGGGGTGGTCATGGTAGGTGGGACTTTGCTTCTTCCTCAAACTGGAAAGCAATTCCTCAGGAAGCCAGACCTCTGCTGCTGCTTCTCTCTGCAGTGCATCTGGAAAGGCAGTGGCCTCTGCCCACACTGGGGGAGAGGGGAAACAACAACAGAGGAAGCTCATGTGCCAGGGAGTCCAGTGGGCCGCCCAGCTTTGGGTACCAATGGGCATACTCGGAACAGATGTACGTGTTTCCTGGGACTCCCTGCTCTGCCCTTTGCAGACACCCGAAATTGGTCATGTCACAGGATTCTCACCAGTTAGCAGCGACACAAGCTCATGACAAGTATCTGGGGGATTCGTGCATTCCTAGGGGATCCTCCCTGACCAGATCTCAGAATATTCCACGCAAATGGGAAGACAACTTGTCACCCCACCCAGGATTCTGGAAAAGCCTGCCATGTCAGTCAGAGATGGCACCTCAGGAGGCCACTTCCTGAGTGGAGGAAGAGAGTTCTGTGCACGGAACTCCCCTGGGGGATCATTGGCGAGGCAAAACCTTTGGCATGGCTCAAACCCAATTTGTGTGGCAGAGACTCCAGTGGGGCTCAGATAGGCAGGTGCCACTTAACCAGGTCTCCTAAAACACCCTGTCCCTTTCCCATCACTACTGTGCCTGGCTGGAGACCTAGACACTCAGAGACTCCAGAGAACACGACCCTGATGGGTAGCGGTGCTGGGATATTGGGAGAAGGCAGCGGGACAGAGCTTCCAGGATGGGGAGGAGGCACCTTCTCTTTCAGGTCCCTGGGGAGTCACTGTCCACTCTGGGTCTCTGTTTCCTCATCTGGAAAATGAAGGGATGCTGAGCCTGTAGTGCAGCCCTCACTGGATGGAAATGAGGTTCAAAAAAGGAAATAATTTGCTAGTGCTCATGCCTGGTTCTTCCTCAGAGGGATGAGAGGGAGAAAAATGGCAACAGGAAACAGTACTCAGGAGGTCTTGTGAGGTAGCTGTCGTTTTCATTGCTCTTTACAGAAGAGGAAACAGTCTCAGGGAGGCCCGGCTGCATGAGTGGGTGACACACACAGAGAGTGTGGAGCTGGCCAGTGGTATGAGCACTGTGCCAGGTGACTCATGCCAGTTCCTAGGGATCCAAGTGTGGGGTGACTGGGGTGTAACTGGGGGAAGAGAGGAGAGCCTCACTGTCTCCCTCACTGGCACCTGGCAGGCGGGGAGCTTTAAGGTGGCCACCCAGGAGAGGAACCCCCAGAGAGCCCAGATGAAGCTGCGGAGGCAGAATAAGGTGAGTGAGCCTTTGGCGTGGAGAGGCCGCAGGGGATCACAGGACAGGGCTCCCTTCCCTGCCAGCTGGAGGCCTCCATGTGAAGACCGCAAGGACTTACTCTCCAGTCCTGTCCTCCTGTGGACACTGGGCCTGGAAAACCTCCATTTTAGAGATCAGAGCAAGGGTCTGGGAAAGCTGGACTCAGAGTGGACGTGGGGAAGGGTAAGACAGGGATCACATGCCCTTGTGAATTGTTAAAATCCCACCATAGAGGTAACTAGGAGTGCTTGCTAGACTTGGGGGTCAGGTGGGAAAGAGGAGACAGAGAATTGGGAAAGGCAGTGGAGGGTCTTTGGCTGCTCCAACAGGGAGACCTGAAGAGGGGAGTTCCGGGAGACAGGGGCTGGTGGGACTTCATGAGACACGACCTTGGGCAGGTACCTGAGGGCCAATACTCATCATCACTACACCTCCCCCCTCCCACTCCTCCTTGGCACAGGGAGTGGTCCCCTTCCTGGGGGATTTTCTGACTGAGTTACACAGATTGGATACGGCCATCCCAGACGATCTGGATGTGAGTTAGTCTGGGGCAGGCTGTTGGGAACCAGGATCCTGAGGGAGGATAGGGTTTTGGACGGAGCCCTTAGATCTCAACCCTTGCCAAACCTCCTCTCCTGAGAGCCTCACAGCTGCTCCTGTAGGTGGGGGTGTCAGGCCCATCTCATCACCTCTGACTGATAAGAGGCTCCATAGCAGCCACCAGTCCCTATTCCCGAGTGGTGAAGCTGCAGAGCTGCCTGACTGCAAAGCTGCTGAGGTGTGGGCTGAGCTGGACTTAGCCTTTCCCTAGAGTAGTCCCGTCACAGGCCAGTGAAATTGAGCCTCTCCAAGGGCAGGCAGTTCCAGGGTCACTGAGCCCTTTCTTTCTATGGGAGATCTCAGTTTCCCTGTCTGTTATCACAGAGGGTTGGGGCAGAAAGTCCCTGAGCCTCAGCTCCTATGCCCCTGCTCTAGAGCCCAGAGCCTGGGGCACATCCAAGTCCTGTCATGTACACATCCCCTGACTCTGGTGGCCCTGGCAGTAATGCAGCATGGGAAGGGGTGGGGTGGGGCTGGTTGTGGGCCAGGGACCTTTCTGATGGACTCTGTCTGCCTTCCAGGGCAACAGCAACAAGAGGAGGAAGGTGAGCAGCTGGGGCACTCACGTTGGATGAGGGTGGGGATGTGGACCTCACAGTCCACCCTGGGCAGGACACTCCCTGGCTCCGTCCTCTACATCTTAGAAAGTTACTGGGAGGGTTTGACACACACAGGAAGAGGAGACCTATCCCAGTGGAGAAAGCGGGAAATGGAATGGAATGAAAGACCAGTTCCTGCGGGAGGGGCTTTTTACATCCAACTCTGAGAAAAGGCTGGGTGGGGGCTGCATGGGGCCCCCTCAAAAAACTGCCCCAGGGATCAGCCCCTTTTCTCTGCCTACCAAAAGTGCTCTCAGCATCTTCTACCCAGGCCCTGTCAGCAACCTCTCCTCTGTCTCTAGGAGGTCCGAGTTCTGCAGGAAATGCAGCTGCTCCAAGTGGCTGCCATGAATTACAGCCTTTGGCCTCTTGAGAAATTTGTCACCTATTTCCCAAGAATGAAGCAGCTCAGTGACAAGGAGAGGTGAGGGCCTAGGGGATGGGCAGAGGGTGGGAGAAGGCTCTCCATTTTTTTTTTTTTTTTCCCAAGAAGGTCTGGCTCTGTCGCCCAGGCTGCACTGCAGTGTCACCATCTCTGCTCACTGCAACGTCTGCCTTCTGGGCTCAAGCCCTTCCTCAGCCTCTCAAGCAGCTGGGATTACGGCAGTACACCATGTCCCAGGACGTGGTACAGCATGTACAGACACCATGTGCTGTTGTTCTGCTGTTGTTGTTCTGGTACAGATGGGGTTTCACGATGTTGTCCAGGCTGGTCTCAAACTCATGGCCTCAAGCAATCCATCCACCTCAGTCTCCCAAAGTACTGACATTACAGGTGTCAGCCACCCCACCTGGCCTAGAGGAGGCTCTCCCTGTGGCAAGCTGCAGAGAGCCTATGGCCATGACTCCACGGCCAGCATCAAGCCCTGTTCCATGGGGACCGCTGGGGACCCAGGATTCCAGCTGGGCAGGCACTGAGAGGGGACCTGATGTGTGGCTCATGGTGGCCTCACAGCTGCCTCACTGTCCTGCAGCTACAAGCTGTCCTGCCAGCTGGAGCCCGAATCACAGTAGGCCAGTAACATCCTGCAGTGGCTGGGACCCCACCGGGATGCTGGTCAGAACACCGGCTCTGCACCATCCTTCACCTAGACCGTGACACCAGGGAACCACATCTAGGTGGCTGGCAGCTCAGCTGCATCTGAACCCTGCTCTTCGCGTAACACCAGCTGCTCCTGCTGGTCAGGATCAGGCCATGGGACTTTTCCCAGGCAGGCGGGAGACCATTTTATGTTTATTTTCTTTAGTGTATAAGTAAGGCTTTTTTTCTTAACTTTTTAAAATAAAAATTTAAAACACTACTCAAAATGTTCTATAGTTGTTGGAATGAGAAAAGTAACCGCAGCGCAGTAACCGTATACCAATCTTCAGGATTCATAGTTCACTATGTCAAATTGAGGCTATGGCTGAACAAGTCATGCAACAGCGTTTATGTTACACATGCCAACCATTTAATGTTTTCCTTCTCTGTTCTAATTAATTATTATTAACTCTGTTTAAGGAAAACAAAAAACGCAACAAAGCAAAACCCTTAAAAATCAGAGCATGTTACCCAATCTACCACACTTGTTCTACTGACCAGCAACTCTCAAATTTAAATTCTAGTTAAATTCGAGTTCCACTGGGTTACTCTACTTTCTTGAAGTTTAAATATTTAATGAATCACTTATATATTTACTGAAAGGCTGGAGATGGGAGGTATTTCAGCAATCGGTAGTGCTGGCCTTCTCCAGAAGTCCTGGGCAGAAGGGAGCTGGCCATCAGTCTCCATGAAATACAGATAAACTTTTTCCACTATGGATCTTCCCAGACTTTCTGACACCTCTCCCCTAACTGAGTATCAAGGAAGGAGAGAATCATTTGAGACCAGAATCGAAAACGATGTCCCACGGCTTAATTTGAACACAACCCCCAGTGTGTTATATCAGAGAAAAAACAAGCCAAAGAAGTCAACATTTCAGGGTCTGAAACATGTAATACCCCCAAATCAACACCAAATAAACACCTAAACCCAATCCTGGAGCCGCAAAGCTCCTATAAGAAAAGTGGGAGTCTGTATCTCAGCAAAACTTGTATCTCTGCACGCAGTTTGCAAAAAAGAAAGAAAACAAGAGCAAAAATTATCTATGGCAAGAAACCCTTAGACCGTGCAATTGATTTGGCAATACTTTTTCTTATTTGTTGTTCTTTTTGGATGGGACACTAAAATCACTGCTAACAAACATGAATACAAACACATGGGACTATACATCATTTCAGAGCTTACGCATGAGCAAGAGGAACAATGAACCATTAAAGAAACCATCCTACAGATTGAGAGAAAGTTCAGCAGAATCTTACCTGTGAAAGGGGTTGTTATCTAACATGCATGAGAAACTAACGCTACTCTAACTGGGAAAATGAACAAAACCTAATACCCAAGCTAAAACTGGGCAAAGATCCTGAATAGGCACATCTGAAATGAAAACATGAAATTCACTGACAGGTCAAAGAGAAGCTGCTCAACTTCACTAATCCTCACACAAATGTCTAAGTACGAACCACGCTCAGAAGTGTCTCACTCTAATTAGAACGAAACTTAGCAAAAAAAACAGAAAACCCATACGTTCACAGGCAGTGGCCAATGCAGAACAGCAGAAAAAGACACTTTTATACACTATCAGTGGCAATGTACATTACTATACACATGAAGTGAAACAGTTGAAGGTGTTTTAAACATTTTACAACTATCCCTTCACCTAGCAATCCCACCACTGGTTATACACAGAAACCACATAGAATCTGTTACGTTGAGGAGGTATCGGCCTTCCTATGGCGACTGAAGCACTATTCACAATAGCGAAGGTATTCAATCCACCTACCTGTTCGTGCACAGATGAAGGGATAAAGAAACTGCAGTACACAATGGAATCCTCTTTGGCCACAGAAATTCATGAAACCATGTCATCTGCAGCAACGTGCAGAACCCTGGAGGACATGACCTTCAATGAAACGAGTCAGGCAGAGAAAGGCAAACACGGCATGATTTCATGCATGTGAGAATGAGATCAACTTCCTCTCTAAACGACTTTATCCCCTAGAAGTAGAAAGTTTCACAGTGGTGAAGGGAGGTTGTGGGTTGGGGAGTCCTGGCAGGGACTGGGAAAGGGACACAATGTTACACTCAGATGACAGGAATAAATTTAGCTACTCTACTCCACAGCAGGTGTCCAGAGTTAACAGTATCCTACCATATTTTCCAAAAAAGACTGAAAAGAAAATAACTACACAAGGTAATAGAGACAGTCAATACCTTGCTTTCATCATTACACAAGGTACATATGCATGGATCAAAATGTCCTACTCTACTCTTTAATTGTAAATCTTTACTATAGAGCAAATTGGTTTTAAGCACATAGAAAGAAACAATGCTGAAGTATATATGTGAGACCAGGAAATTCCCACATCTAATACACTAAAGAGCCACCACACAACACAAGAAATTACCAACAGAGTAGACAGACAACATACAGGATGAGAGAGAATGTTCCCGAACTATGCATCTGACCAAGGCCTAATATCCAGAATCTACCTGAAAAACCTTACAGAAATCAATTAGCAAAACCCCCCAAATAACTCATAAATACGCACCGGATATAAACACACACTTCTCAAAAGATAATGTAAAAGCAAGCAACGAATGTGAAAACATGCTAAACCTAATTATCAGAGAAATATAAATCAAAAGCACAATGAGCTATCATCTCACACTGGTCAGAATGGCAATTACACAGTTAAAAAAAAAAAAAAGGGACACGGACAAGGCAGCAGAGAAAGGGGACACTGGTCCACTTTTGGTGAAAATGCAAAGTAGTTCAGACACCATAGAAAACACTTCAGAGATTGCTCAAAGAACTTAAACCAGAATTACCATCTGACACAGCAAGCCCACCACTGGGGTATACACAAAGGAAAATAAATTCTTCTGTCCAAAACACACATGCACACAAACAGTCTTGGCGGCACTCTTTACAATGGCAAACACGTGAAATCAACCTAGGTATCCATCAACAAACAGTGGATCAGAAAAGGAAAATGGGGTACATATATACCACAAAAAACTAGGCAGCTTTAAAAAAAAAAAAAAAAAAGACGCAAATCATGTCCTTGGCAGCAACATGAAAGGAGCTGGAGGCCATTAT